GGCTGAATTAATGAAATTTTGGTCACACAAGAATTTTTTGACTATATTAATACAATATATCATGCCGAATTTCTTACCAAACAATCAGGATAGTACAGCTTATAAGGAGCTGGAAGGCGCTTTGCTAAGGCAAAACTACTTTGAAAAATGGCATATATTTAGGGGATGGAAGCATGGTTGTAAGGTTTGTGAAGAATGCAATCATCACTCACATCTGTATTGCAAAAGGTGTAAGAAAGTAGCGGAAGGAATTTATAAGCGATGTGAATGTTCTCAAGTAATTTGATCAATAAAGCAATGATGCAAATTTACCAGACGTTTTATAATTTTTTTGCATGGAGTGAATGATGAGATTGTGTGAAGCAATGTGTGTGCTATTATTTTTTCGATCAAGTTTTAAAATTGTAGCTTGATAAATAAATGCGCGGTAATGTTATACATATATCACGGGAACAAGTAATTGCACAAAATAATTTATTCTCAAACTTTCTCGCATATTCTCAAAATTATTACGTATATTATTGTAAAAGGACCCCTTGATGATCTTTACATATGGATAGCGTTAAATTCTTTTATTGTTAAATTAAGGAGAGGTGGTTGATCAGATTTTCGTGATGCGATCATATTAACGTAATTTCCCCCAAAAGGACACTTCCAAATCGATCTTGCGATTTATATAAAAGGAGCTGGCCCAGATAGTGAACCCTTTTAACTGCTTGCGCAAATATAAGCAAATAATTAAGCGGAACTATAAAACATAATCAAACTAACCAATAATCACCGTTAATATTTCTGATCAAACTAATTCTATTTTTTCCGCAAAGTAAAAATAAAGTAAGTTGGTTTATTGCTCGGCTAACTTCATGAAACATAACATCATGATACTAACCATTTTCCCGACCCTTTAGATGTACAAAGCGGGCATATTTCTTTTCTTGTTTTATATCGGCACTTTGATCCTCGCCGAGAAAATCACGATTGCCGGCACGTGGCAAGACAGCGCAGTAAAATACTACAGAGAAATAAATCACATGACCATAATTTCAGCCGGGGCGCCCCTGCCGAAAAATCTTACTTATATTGGTAAAACTATATTATGTGCCCATGAGTCGGCAGGAATTTGGCGCAGTATAACAAATAAAATTTCTGGCAATAAAATAATAACCATCTTCACGTGCCAAATTCTTGAAACTTTGCGCAGTATCGTAACGGCGATAACTCAGAAAAAATTAAGCAATAAATTTCTTGTATATGAGGAAGAATGGAATGTTGTGAAAATGAATCATGGTAAGTATGAATTGGAAATATTAAATATTGCATTTCTTATTATTTTACCTCAGTGTTAATCTCCCGAATTATCCATAGATTCGAAATTACTTAATCCCCGAGAAGTTTCATTACGGGGAATATTATTTTACATAATCTGCGTGTTTGGGAGAGATATAGATAGACAAAAATCCTGTAGACATTGGTGGGATAATTTATTTCAGAAATCTAGTGTAGAAAGAGAGCATTGTTATGAGAATCTCGTAATTAGCAATTGATATAGAAATAAATTAGCTGTAGATATTTTTAGAAAGTGTGAGAGAGCGAAGAAATAACTTGATGCTGGGACTCGCATTAAATGGCCTAGGATTCGCGTACTCCCTCCCTCTTTGATAGCATCATACATTCGTTTGCTTCTTTAGCATTTTTCGCTATGTACAGTATCTGAAAAATAATAAATTTTCGTCCAATTTCACGGGCTTCATTTTTTAACTGGCACGGATAAATTTTGTACCTGTCTCTTATACACATCTTGAATCGGAAGTTATAAATTCAAAGCCAGAAAAGGGCCCATCACCTTCGAAGCCAGACCCGATCCAGAATTAATTATCAAATCCATCTTAGAGCACTTCCCATACTTGAAATTCTGAAATAGTTTTAGAGGGATTGATAATTATAATTTTGCATCACCTCAGCCGTGGAGCTCACCATGTCCTATTTGCGATGGAAAACATGGAAATTATGGATTACATGGCGAATGGTATAAAAATAGAACAGAATATTGTCTTACTTGCTTCACTTCAAGCAACAAATTCAAATTCGCGATCGTAGCATATACCAGTCATGTGAGACCGATCACCTGAAATGCGCAGTATCCAGAACCAAAATAATAGGACTGTGCAACATAACACTCAGTGCCATGACACATCGATCACTAATTAAAAAATTGTACTGCAAAAATGATTTGCACAAAGTCACAAATATTTTGCAGTTTTCTTTTAAGTAAAGCTTTTTCAGACCTTAGTAAACTTTTATTCTTCAGGTTCTTATTTACGTGTTTCAACCTTTTATTTAACAAAATAACACTTATTTGAGAAGTTTATATTAGGCTAACTTTTCCTACTTTTTTGACTTCAACCCCCAGATGCAAGTTTGTATGAAAACTAAATATTATTTAAAGTACTTAAATGCATGTAATTTTTTACAAGGAATCAAAATGCTTAGTGAGTAAAAGGTTGGTTTGATAATAATATTTTTATTAAATCCATGATTTTTGATTTTTTATGTAGTTTGTCTATATTAACATTGCAAAAATTACATGTATAAATTTAATTTTAACAGCATAAAAAGAATATTTGATGTATATTACATACTGTAATCAAATAATAAATAAATATTTTTCAAATTTAAAAATCTTTTATATATTAAATAAAATGTAAAAGTCATCTTTAATAAAAATTTTTCAATATGTATCCAATTTCAATAAAAATTGACTCACAAAGACTTTAAAATATTTTGAATTTATGTGCAAAATTTCAGTATATATTATTATATGAGATGGAGTAAAAATGTACTGTTACACAAATTTCATAGTAAAAAAGTCCCTATGCCGATCTGTGACATGACCGGTGTTTGATAAGGCTGAATTAATGAAATTTTGGTCACACAAGAATTTTTTGACTATATTAATACAATATATCATGCCGAATTTCTTACCAAACAATCAGGATAGTACAGCTTATAAGGAGCTGGAAGGCGCTTTGCTAAGGCAAAACTACTTTGAAAAATGGCATATATTTAGGGGATGGAAGCATGGTTGTAAGGTTTGTGAAGAATGCAATCATCACTCACATCTGTATTGCAAAAGGTGTAAGAAATTAGCGGAAGGAATTTATAAGCGATGTGAATGTTCTCAAGTAATTTGATCAATAAAGCAATGATGCAAATTTACCAGACGTTTTATAATTTTTTTGCATGGAGTGAATGATGAGATTGTGTGAAGCAATGTGTGTGCTATTATTTTTTCGATCAAGTTTTAAAATTGTAGCTTGATAAATAAATGCGCGGTAATGTTATACATATATCACGGGAACAAGTAATTGCACAAAATAATTTATTCTCAAACTTTCTCGCATATTCTCAAAATTATTACGTATATTATTGTAAAAGGACCCCTTGATGATCTTTACATATGGATAGCGTTAAATTCTTTTATTGTTAAATTAAGGAGAGGTGGTTGATCAGATTTTCGTGATGCGATCATATTAACGTAATTTCCCCCAAAAGGACACTTCCAAATCGATCTTGCGATTTATATAAAAGGAGCTGGCCCAGATAGTGAACCCTTTTAACTGCTTGCGCAAATATAAGCAAATAATTAAGCGGAACTATAAAACATAATCAAACTAACCAATAATCACCGTTAATATTTCTGATCAAACTAATTCTATTTTTTCCGCAAAGTAAAAATAAAGTAAGTTGGTTTATTGCTCGGCTAACTTCATGAAACATAACATCATGATACTAACCATTTTCCCGACCCTTTAGATGTACAAAGCGGGCATATTTCTTTTCTTGTTTTATATCGGCACTTTGATCCTCGCCGAGAAAATCACGATTGCCGGCACGTGGCAAGACAGCGCAGTAAAATACTACAGAGAAATAAATCACATGACCATAATTTCAGCCGGGGCGCCCCTGCCGAAAAATCTTACTTATATTGGTAAAACTATATTATGTGCCCATGAGTCGGCAGGAATTTGGCGCAGTATAACAAATAAAATTTCTGGCAATAAAATAATAACCATCTTCACGTGCCAAATTCTTGAAACTTTACGCAGTATCGTAACGGCGATAACTCAGAAAAAATTAAGCAATAAATTTCTTGTATATGAGGAAGAATGGAATGTTGTGAAAATGAATCATGGTAAGTATGAATTGGAAATATTAAATATTGCATTTCTTATTATTTTACCTCAGTGTTAATCTCCCGAATTATCCATAGATTCGAAATTACTTAATCCCCGAGAAGTTTCATTACGGGGAATATTATTTTACATAATCTGCGTGTTTGGGAGAGATATAGATAGACAAAAATCCTGTAGACATTGGTGGGATAATTTATTTCAGAAATCTAGTGTAGAAAGAGAGCATTGTTATGAGAATCTCGTAATTAGCAATTGATATAGAAATAAATTAGCTGTAGATATTTTTAGAAAGTGTGAGAGAGCGAAGAAATAACTTGATGCTGGGACTCGCATTAAATGGCCTAGGATTCGCGTACTCCCTCCCTCTTTGATAGCATCATACATTCGTTTGCTTCTTTAGCATTTTTCGCTATGTACAGTATCTGAAAAATAATAAATTTTCGTCCAATTTCACGGGCTTCATTTTTTAACTGGCACGGATAAATTTTGTACTATGCAAATCAGTATACACTATACAGTACTACAAATTACGTCAAATTATGTCATGTGATCGTGATTCGTAAATATAATAGGTTAGTAGTTAAAATAAAAAAATTTTTTCGTGTTCAAAACAGCTATGGAGTCTCATTGGAATAACTATTTCGAAGAAACACGACCGGGAGATTATCGTTTCATAGGTTTTTACCATTATCGTTTACAACAAGACGACTTCACCTTCTCCTTCATGAAGGAGTCTAACAGACTAAAAAAGAACCTTGATAATATCGTGAAGAATGGATCGGATGAAATGAGGAATAGTGCTAAACAGCTGAGTAATAGTTTTAAGGTGGTTTTTATTCGAGTTTTCAATAATTATTTTTTGTGGGAGGCTTAACACGACTAGGAGGGCTATGCTTGCGCGCTGGCCCATCTGATGGCTTGTCGTTACTGCATATTGAGGTTATAATGAACTCTCTTGCGGGAAAATGGAACCCACACAACTACGGTGGCATCTTGCGTGTTGTTCACCTTACGGTCTTGCGTGTCCGTTGTGTCTGTTTTCAGATGTGCTTCTTATCACACTCTAATGAGATATGAGATATACTAACTTTCACTAACTTCAGGGACACCGGGAATACTTCACGGATGTTGATGCGTTTTGGCGAGAAATCGAATTACACGAAGAGTTACAGCATATTGAGGTTTTTTATTTGCCATTTTTTTTCTGATCTATCCGATCAAACTTACGTCCATATTGACTGTATTCTTTTTTCATGACAATAGGAAGAAGCTTCCAGATCAATTATGCACGATACGAAAAAAGTTATCAATACTGCTATTGGAAATGCTCGTTCTACAATTGGGAACATAAATAATAGACTGGTATGAATAATAATGGAATTAGTGTAAGGATAAACCTAAAATGACAGTTGTTTACCCCATTTTGTAGGTTAATCCAAGAAAGCGTGCAAAAGACCAACCTGATTCCGAAGACATCAAGCGAGTCAGTATGGAATCAATAAATGTTATTTAACTCACAAAAATGTCTTCTCACCTTTTCACATTTACAGATTAAGGTGACCCAGAGTTCATCCGCGTCTGCTTCCTCCACAACTGGTAATAACGAATTACAAGATAATATATATGATATAAAAGATGCGATCGTTGATGATGAGCGAGCAGTCGATGAATTCGAAGAATTTAATACCGAAAAATCAGGGGGAGTAGATAGTTCAAATTATTCCGAGAAGGTAAGTACTAATTATTTTTATTGTTCATCATGATAATGCTTTTGAAAAATCATTTTTTACAATACGGTACAGGCAAAAACGTTTAACGTCTCATTTGACGAGTATGTTGACTCAGCCATAAACATACAAGATGAAAGTGAGATAGCTGAGTCAAGTGTTGAGGATGAGGAAAATAAAATTTGATCTTAATGATATTTCGATAGAATTGCAACACGAGCCAGCAGTTAAAGTATGTCCCGCGTTGGATTTTTGTTTATATTTTGCGCATATCTCAGTTTTCTTCTTTTTTTTAGTGGGAAGTCGGTGATATTAATGTAACAGATAGATTTCGGAATTATCAAAAAGATGTACTCAGGAAGGCGGAACGAGAAGGTCTAGATTACGAAAACATTTACGAATCTTTGTAAGTATTCTGAAATATAACATCCATATTTATAATGATTAATTATATCAAGATATCAAGATTTATTAAAATTTTTCGTCATTTCATTTAGAGCATTATCATCAATCATGGTTCTCCGTTGGCCATGTCCATATCCTGAGATATTTACGAATCGAGAATGGGCAGAAATTACAAAATTGAATCCGTATACCGTTAAAAACTCTCCGCTTCCACAAGAGATTTCAACATCCCTACATGAAGCAACTTGCAACCATTTCATTGGCGAAGATGTCTTTATGAATGGTGGAAAAACGAAGCTAAGTAGAGATGTAGCATGCTCATTCAATGATTTGTAAGTATGCTTGTTTCATCATATTTTGTTTGCTATCTACGAGTTTGTGGTTCACAAAGTCCTTTCTCTGATACATTACACAGATATAATGGCTTACCAATGGTTTCATCAAACATAATGGAAAAAATAACGGAAGAAGAGCACTGTTACATGTTTCTTTATCCAGTTACTAAACCTTTCTTTCTTAATCCGCTAAGGGAGTACAAACTTGTCTTGAATCGCGCTACACCAGGGTCAAGAAAAAGGCCCGACCTTTCTTGTGTAGTTGATGATATCACAATTCTCAACTCAGAAATAAAACCGCTAAAATGTACACCACTCCAACAAAAAAAGGACATCGTGAAAGCACAGTTGCGAGCCCGCAAATCGATTAATATGCAACTACAAGGAAAAGGCGGTCTGGCCGAAGCCGGTATATTTTTGAATATGGGTATGTGCTTACAAAGAAGTTGTTATATTTTACAGCATGTTACTGAATTAAGATTTTGTGATAACTAGGTGAATGGATGGAATCGTTTTTCATGGACTTACAGTATGACGGATTATACCGTTCCTGGCCATTTCTTACAACAAAGCTGGCGGTTGAAAAGGCTTCAATCCCATTAATAGAGTTTGCAATTAATCATGTTATTGCTTTGGAAGTATGTGATATCTTCGCTTTGAGTTTATAATGAAATAATTCTCATGATTTTTACCTTTTGCAATGTAGGAACGCATTGCAAATCTTGCAGAGAACTACAAATATCGAGATAATCAAAAAATTCGAAATGGTCAAATCACACCACCTACATCTTTCATGCGTAGATTCCCAGATACTCCACAAGTAAAATTGTTACTTAAGTGATAAGGGTTTTAGTCATAGTGAAATTAAAGCATTTTCTCCTGATAATTGTTATATCTCTGTATACTTAATACGTTAAGAGGCTTGGACAAGTGATGAATGCGAAAGTTTATTGTGTTTTATTTTTGATTTTACATATAATGCATCTGAAAAATAAAAAATGTACATACTTTATTGTATATTGAAAAGTGATCGGTGTTCCGTTTCAGAACGCACACGTGATTTTTTTAACACGAATGTTCCCCGGGATGAAACTTGCCATTTTTTACTCAAGTGTGAACATATGTTCACAGCAGATAAGCCAAATTTTACTCAGGTGTGATCGCCTGTTCACACTTGCCGAAGTTTTTCCATGTTTTAATATATTCGAGACATGTATAGTTATCATTCCACAAATAAAAACAGCGTATATGCTTATTTATTTTTTAACTTGTGTACGCCTATCAAATAAATAAATGGTGCATCCCGCTCTCTATCTTCGTTTTTACTTAGCCAGCCGGCCCTTTACTTCATGAAAAAATATAATAAAGAAATATCCAATGATGTGTTAGATAGCGAGGATGAATAATATAATGATTAGTCGAATGATAACGGAGGCTTAGTTGTCTTTTTTCTGATTGGCTGATCATCTCATGATTTATAGAAACTCGCCAGCGCCTGGAACTCTCCTAGAACTATCGAGGAACTGTCATGGAACTGGCAGGGATATTATGTGATACAAATTTTAGCCGAAGGCGCTGTGCATAGTTTAGCCGTCCGAATCAAAAATTTTACTCGAACAATCAAATAAAAATGAATCTGATATTTATTAGAGTATAATATTGCTAAATCAGCTAAAATCGCTAAAAACACTATAAATCAGCTATAATTGCTATAATCTGTTATAATCTACCAAAACGCTAATATGGATTTAGATAGTAGAGCCTATTCCAAGTTAATTCATGCACACAATAGTGTTGGAGGCTCTGAAGAATATATAAGAATCATTGTTGCTATAGGCCCTTTATCAGGAAGACATGATCATGAAACACCAAAAATGTGGTGTTCTCGTATTCGTGATCTATTTAGGAAAATACTAGAAGAGAACCCAAGAATCCTTTCTAAAAATGGATATATTACAAAGTATAGAAAGCTATATAAAGATGATAGGATTCACGGTCTACCAACCAATTATATATATTGTAGTGTATGCGACTCCTTAGTTTACACACCTGCAAATGGTCGTTTTGATGATCACTATCGAGATAACCACTTGAAGAGATGTATTAATGGAAATACTATTTCAAGCAAACATGCAAGAAGAAAAGATATTCTCCAATCTATTGATAGTAGAGAATTTAGAATCTGGCAATGTAAACAAGAAATATTACGAGAAGAGGCTAAAATAAATCGTCTTCACCTAGAGCTATTTTCTCAATCTACTCCACACTCAGAAAAGGATATGTTGACATCGGTATCATGTGATTTTGATAGTCGTTCAATTACCTATAAAACTTATAAGCAGGTTAAAATGACTATAGCAGAAAATACTATGCCAAGTGCTCCAAATTTCGAGCCAGCTTATATACCACCTACCAGGCAAGAAATGGTTTCACCAACTTCTTATCAATCATCGAATTGTAGAAGTGATACAGGCAAATTATTTATATCGTCTCAGTATGTAAAACAGCCAAAAGGCACTGTGTTGAGATTGGGGGATAGGTCAGAAATCACGGTAGTTTAACTAACTGATTCTAACTATATCTGTTTTGACTCCCAAAAAATCATAGAATAGAGATTCGATACATGTATTTTTATTAAGTTATATTATTAATAAAGCGAGTATACTGACCATTGGTCAGGATGTCACGTGATTTTTTTATTTTTGAATATTAACATACTAATACTACATTACGCAAGCATACAATCCGAAATAGATGATTCCAGATTGGCCGATTCATTAAAACAATGCATTGCTAAGCTTGAGGTTGAGAATGATAAAAACTATTAAAATCTTCTGGTGACCATTGATCATGCGATCAGAGCCTAGCTAATCCCCTACAAGATGTGTCATAATTCGTGATATAGGCGTGTAAATACTGATCTGATATAATAAAGTGGTCTATTTTTGAAATTCCATGAAATTCCATTTTTTTGCGCAATGTATAAATATATAATAGCATTTAATAAAGCATATTCTGAATTGCTAGCCAAGTTACCAGCTTCCATAATAAATGAGGCATGGATTCATCTCATATCACGGAAGTGTAACCCATTATCTGAGAAAGAGGCCAGTGAAATTAATCCAATTGTAGAGTCATTTTTAAAACATAAATAAAGCTATTAAATATCAGAAAAGATTAATGCATCAGAAACGAACTCAAAGTTGGCTGGAGTGCCCAACAATATTACCATTCAAAGAAATATCAACTATATATGTTGCAGATAATGGAACCCAAACTGATGATAGCATCTGGTGGGATTCTTTGAACCAGGCACTAAAGTACGATCATGAAGAAGAGAATAATCGCCAGGTTATGAATGAACTTAAAATACTATCTCAGCACCTGATCGATTATAATAAACGAACTTTTGAGAAATTTATGCATGACATAGAAAAGAAATATAGAGAGTGGATTACTGTAAATAAGAAAATGCACTATGAGATCAAAGATCTGAAGATGCAAGTGCTGGAGGCAGAAAAAAGAGCTGACATCTATAAAGTCGAATTCTATTCATTAGTGAGAATTTGGTTGGGGTACGTTTTTCCTTGTATTTCTGCAAAGTAAGATCCTGGTCAAGATTATGCGCTTTCTGAGGATTAATATAAATCAAAGGTTCTCCCATTCTCTTTTATAATCACAAAAAAGAATGGCATTTCGGAGGCCCCATCCAAGGCAGAGAAGAACATGTGAAGAATATAAAGCTGAACTGGAGGAGGAGAACTACCATCTTCGTAGTGAATTGCAAGCAGAAGTTGATAGTAACTGCCAAAATGAAAAGCATATCAGGGAGCTGGAATGTAAATGTGTCCGTTGTGAACAAGAAATCCAAACTCTTAATGATGAGATAGAACGTCTTGAGAATGCTTCGAAAGAGGAGATAGTAGAGCTAAAATCCGAAATTTCCAGCCTAAAAAAGCAACTATATCAAGCTAAGAAGGATATTCGTGATAATGAAAAACATATTTCTAGTATAGAGAGTTTGTTAGTAGATTCCGAGGAGCAGGTAGACACAGGTCGAAAAGTGAAAAATCAGGCATCAATCAGTCACCAATCGGTCACCAATCAGGTACCTGATTGGTGACTGATTGGTGACTGATTGGTGCCTGATTTTTCACTTTTCGACCTGTGAGAGAAATTGCGATGCCAGATCAGGACTATCTCATCACGAAAAAATTCACCAGAAAGAGGTAATTCTCCGGACTTGTATAATCCTGATGATTATATGGTCACAATCACAGAGCTAGCAAATGCTATAGATAGTTATCTGAATAATACAACAACAGGTAGAGAAATCTTAGCTGATCAAATAAAAAGGGCGACAAGGCAGATTCACCGAAAAGAGAATAATTGGCATCAGGATTTAGTCCGTGAGCAAAGAAGGCGCTATGATGCAGAGGCTAAGCGTGATAATGAAATTATACGAAGGCAAAATGCTGAAGAAGTAGAACAAATGGTTATTGCTGATCTTTATCAGTTGCGGACCAATGCTCGAAATCAAGTAAATAGAATGTTAAATAATATAACAGGAAAGCAAACCCGTATTGGTATATTGCTACAGGAAAAATTTGCCTTACAATTGCTGTATCAGCAAAATGCCCATCACTTACAGCAAAGTAGAGGGGATATAGGTCTGTTAGAATTTAATCGTGACAGGCTCTATGAGCAATATGAGAAATGGAAAAATAAGACTCAAGCAGAGCGCCAGAATAGTTTAAATTTGCAGGGACAAATTTTAGCGTTACAGAATAATCCACCAAATCAAATAAACATGGCAGGAATTCCACAACCATTTTTTGACTGGGATGATAATATTTCAGATTTTCTAGTGAAACTAAGATTATATCTGCAAAACCAAGGAGTAGATCTAGCAGATAATGCAGGAGGTCCACCCACAGGAAGAGAAGTAGCTATAGGATATTTAAGAGGCTGTATAAGAGGAAGAGTCTTAGAATGGTTTGACGAAGAGATTACTACAAAGCAGAATTGGGAATTAGCAAACTTACTTGATAATACAGGGCAGGCTAATTTAATAGCAGTAAATGGGCGAAATGCAGGTCAAATAGGAAATCAAGTATTGAATGAAGCTTTTGGCTAACCAGAAACTGCAATAGTCAAGTTGAGAGCTGTAGAAGATCCCTGGGATGAAGATTGGCGTATAGTAGGTGGTCGTCCTGCTAATATTGCTGTTAATGCACCAAATGCTAATAATGGTACCACAGTGGTTGTAGCTGGTATTTGTTTTGGTCAAGCCATATGGTGGCTAAAAACACATTTTCCTACAGTGGAGGAGGAGCTTCGGGATTTGATGTATGGAACAATTAGAAAGGGGAATATGACTATAGATGAATTGTATAGAAAATTATTACGAATAGGAAGACGAACTAACTATAGACCTGAAGAATTACGTAGAAAGTTCTTAGATGCGCTTTCACTCCCATGGCTTGAAAAAGCTGAGGATATTGGTGAACATTTGCCATTGGATGAATTAGCTAAAAAGCTTTATGAGATAGAGTTATGCCGAATAGTAAGACATAAAAGAGATAGATTACCTGACCCTCTAGTATCTAATCGAGCATCTCAAGAAATATATGAACTTTCACCCATTTCAGCCCCGCAACACTGCAACAGCAAGGAATTTCTTTAGAAGATATGCAAAAAGCAATTCAAAATGCATTGGCATAACAAAAAACTGAAAACCAGGCATTAGTAAAGAAAGTTACAGAATTACAATCACAAATGACTCAGTAAACGCAAGTACCTGCTCCACAAACTGTTGAACCCATTAGACAGCCGAGAGGTCCACCATCTTCATTGAAAACAGAGGAAGGTCTCAAGAATTATTATGTATCAGAATACTTAAAAGAAATAGGCTTATTAAGTAAGGAAGATTTAGACTCAGATTATCCTGTAAAACTTTTTCAAAGACCTCGTTCACAGCGAAACAATAATTCTGCTAGATTTGATAGGATTGAAGAAGGGCTTGAGGAAACTCAGAATAATGTAAATCAGTTAGCTGATCTATTTCAGAAACAAGCTTACATACGAAAATGTGGAATTTGTGGGGAAATGGGCCATAGCAAAGGAAGTTGTCCAAAAAGACTGATAGCTCAATCTAATTTCACTCGGTCATATTTTACGCCTCTTAAACCAATAGTTCCTCCTGATTCAGATGGTGAGGAAAATGATGGGGATGGCTATGATGAAGAAAATAATATGTGGACTGGGTATGATTTACCGGTAAAAAAAAACAGGTAAATGAGCTGAGAGGCGCTTCGCATAAGTTGGCCAGTGATACTAATGCAATCTTACCTCTAGAATTTAGCCAATCTGAAACATATGATCAGCTATTGTCTAAGCTCTCACCACCAATACGAAAAATGTGCTTATCTCGAAAGGCTCAGGAGGAGGAATTGAAAGAATCAGATGAGTGGGTCATCAGGCTGGTAGTGTGTCTTGCTACGCTCACCCCACCTCGGCCTCACGGCCTCGCAGTACCTACATCCTTCCTCTGTGGGGTAGGGAATCCCTATATATCTGAAACAATATGAAACAAGATCTGAAACATAATAATATAAGCAAAAAAGGATAAAATAAGGGAAAAGAGAGGAAAATAAGAGAGAATCAGAAAGGGTGTTTCGATGTTTCAGATGTTTCAGCAATTTTGGTAAAAGTCAGGCGAGGACAAACCCCCTAGAAAAAGTTTTGATTTTACCCCCCAGATCTGAAACTTCTGAAACCATCAGCAAGTTTGAAAAGTGTTGATTCACACCAGTATACGCGTTGATCAACACCAGCTAGTTGTTCAACGCGTTTTACAATATTAATCAACACCCGTATACTGGAGTATACCAACACATAATGTTAATATACGCGTCATTCAACTCTAATGTATAGTTCAACACATTATACATTGTTGTTCCACGCACTGTATATTAACGCATATAATTTATATTTATTTATTTATTTTTACTCACCTTAGGAACTGAACTGATTACCTCAACTTACAATATCATATCTCACGATCTAACCACTGTACTATTTAATTTAAATATAATATACATTTATTAAAATTAGTATTTAAAAAAAAAATCATTTCGGCAATATTATAATTACTCTATATCACATGTATCACGTGATACTGGATTACCACTGCGATAGCAAAAAAAGAAATTAAGCTTTTTTTAGCAAAGCTTAATTTTTTTTTGCTTTTCAGTTCCTCTTCGTTCTCCCCTTCCCTTTCGTTTTCCCATTACCCTTTCGTTCTCCCCTTCGTTCTCCCCTTCCCTTTCATTTTCCCATTACCCTTTATTTCTCCCCTTTCTTTTCGTTTCGTTCTTTTCCCTTTCGTTCTCCCCTTTCTCCCCTTTCCTTTATAAAAGTTTTATCCGTTATTTCTGTAAAAACTCCGTAAAAATGAGCCTTCACGGATCCATTCACAGAAAATGTAATAAGTTGATAAATTCCGTAATATAAGGTCATTAATTCCGGAGATATGAGCCTTTTACGGAAAAAAGTTTGGTGAGTTTCGCAACGAAACGTTGCGAAACTATTTT